TAAATGTTGCATCATTAAAGAGCTGGTAGAGGAGTACAGGCTTATATTAGAAAGGAAAAAAAATTAACAATTACAATTTTATTTGGATTTTAATTAAGTTCATTTTTAAGGCCAGGTTGCTTAAAATTTAGTGTATGTCTATATTCAACATTGGCCCTTGTAGCACACCAAAAGAATTTGTAATCATTGCTTCTTAACATTTGTGTATGGTAAGATATACATACTTTTTAGAAATTGTGCTTTATTAATTTGTGGGAGGTAAAATTTGCCAATATCTATAAAGTGTATGTCATTTGATTCTGCTCTATTGAAACAGAACAGAAGAACAAACAAAATTGTACTTCTTTTCAGGAAATTCTGCTTGGAGAGTAAACGGATCTTGCTTCCTCCACGTTTAGCATCCATTCTGGCTTTTATCCTTCAACTCTTCAAAGAAACTAACATGGATGTTTCTGATGTTGAACAACTCCTCCCTGTTGTCTTAAAATGCTTGGTGGTGGTCAGTGAATCCCAAGGTGAGTTTGAGTTTGTGTTTGTTATACTTTTCTGTTAATTTGAAAGTAATTGTTCCTGTCAGTTAAATTGATAGTTAAAACTGTATTTTTTATGTTATATATCAGTTTGTATTTATTATGGCTAAAGAACAAACATCAGCCAATAACTGAGGTTGAACATGACAAATGGTTTAAAATTGACATGTTCCAGTCTAGTTTAGTTTAGTTTTTCCCAAGGCAAATAATTTACTTAAATGCTACTTCCTCTGATTAGACTTGTTAAGTTCTTAAAGAATATTTGTTAATGTGACTCCAATTATTAAATATATCTTGTTAAATATTAAATTGTGAGAAGTCAGCATACTTTCTCCCATTCAGGTTTCTGCTAGAAGATCTAGGCTAACTTCTTGGGTAGACCAGTAAGGATTCTTTGATCCTATTCCTTTTGTTTTCAGTGTCCCCAGCCTTACTGTCACTGATCTCTTTAAAAAACCATTTATTTAATCCCCACTGTAAGTAGCATGCTTTAATAAGCTTATTAGAAATATGCAGAACAGTAGCCACAGCTCTATCTTGAAGGAATTTTTAAAATGTAAATAGGCCGTGTGTGTGTGTGTGTGTGTGTGTGTGTGTGTGCAGTGTTTATCATTATAATGTGATTGTTCGGGGCAGGGCTTCCCCAATGCTTCTACTTAAGTAGTTGTAACTGGTGTGATAAGTGAGTACAGGGTGTATTCTCAGGAATCTGAGGGCTGGGCCCAAAGTGGTAGCTAAAAGCTCAGACGCCTCTTTGAAATGTTCTGTTTTACCTCAAAAACTATATGCATAATTTGTTTAATCCTCACTTTAATAATTAAAAATATTCTTTTTGCTCCCAAGCTTGATTTTTGTGGAAAATGGTATGTCTGTTAATTTAGAATACCCTTACTTCATAGTAACATATCTTCCCTGAAGAATGCCCAGATGGGCCCAGACTTTTCTTTAGAAATTTTGTCCCCATTGAAAATTTGTACATACTTTTAATTTTAGTGAATGCTTGTTGTATTGTGCGATACAAAATTTCTTGAGACAATAGATAGTATAAAGTTTTAGCTAGCCTCTTATTTTGATGATAATAATATTTATTATGAAGAAGACCATACTTTGGAAGGTGAATTTTGCCTCTTGATATCTAGTGTAAACCAATTAATTTTAGACTTGTAATAAATAATTTTAAAAAGTATTTATTTGAGTAAAAGGAACTGTAGTTCGAAGACACAGATTCAAATAGCAATCTAAATTGTGCACCACCAAGACAAAGGAGAGGCCATCTAGTTCCCATCCATGTTCCCAATTTTATGCAAATGAAGTTTTCAAATTGATCAGTTCTGATGGAAGAAAAAGGAAACCAGGTTTCCTTGAGGTGGTTGACTCAGCATTAAAAAAAGCAGGTCACAGTGCAGGAAGTCGAGAGTTCAGCCAGAGGTTCTTCCTGGTACATTCTATGTGAGGATCTCCTGTCAGCAAATGGCTACTAGACTTATTATTTATAAGATCTGGGCCCTTGGGTGACCCTAGGGAGTTCATCTCAATATCTAAATTCCTTCTTGAGATTCACATCGCATGCATCTTTCTTCTGGGGTCCACATTAGCTAGTAAGTGCTTGACATAATCAACAGAGTTGGAGTGCAGATTCTCTACCTTCACATTACTGTCTTTGTAACCTTGAAGGAGAAATAAATGCAGATTTGTGTGCTTGGCTCAGAGAAAATTCTGACTTTTTTGTTGTCTCAGTGTCTAAAAGGACAGTTTGTACAGTCACAAGAGGTATTACTAAATGACTCAGCACATCCACTCCTTGGTAGGTGCCTAAGAGTATTTTAAACACATGTCTGTTCTACAACCTGTACAGAGAGCTTGATGAGTTCCACTTTTTCCATGACAGTAAAAGGACCTTTGCCAACCTGCTCCTCAACAAAACAGGTGAAAAATTTACTTAAAAGAAATCATTAAAGTCTCCAGAAATAGCTGTAAGGGTATATATACAGCAAATGGAGAAATCTTTAAGAAAATCTATTAAAACTTGGTAAGAACAGCAAGAATCTGTGGTACTTGAACCAAGACCACTTCTTTTCCGCCAGCACAGTAAGACAGAAACTACTTCAGACTGTTAAATCCAAGAATATAGGGCTCCCCTCTCCCCAGCTTCCAGTAGAGTCCTGTGAGAGGCAGGCTTCCACCATTTCTCGTCATGACTCCAGGCTAATGTAAAGTTTCAGACAAGTACAGCTTAGAAGTGGGGGCTCCATTCTTCTGCTCAGCCCTCACTCATGGGATGGTTGCAGTGCATTGAGGGCGACACCACTGAGAATACAGGGTGCCAATCATTCTTGCTGCAGCTTAAAGGCTGCATGCCAAGAGAAGTGAGCTGAGGGGACCTGGGGCAGCTGCCCCTCCTTCCACAAGCGCTCTTCTCCTAAAGTGGTGTGCCACTCAAAAGTAGTGGGCACTGTTGTCTCTGTCCTAGCACCAGAGCCATGCCTGGGAGGTTGTGCATGGAACTCTGAGCCTCTCCCAAAAGAACTGATTTCATTCGTATCACAGTGTGAAAAAGTTCAAGCCTAACAGTACTGTCAAAAACAGTGGAGTTTGTGATGAAAGACAAAAGGTAGAAGGATAATGGACTCACTGAGCTATAAGATAATCTGTAGGCCAGCCAGTTTGGTGAGAGAATTAGTGAAAGGGACAGCTGGTTAGAGCCCTCGGTTCAGAACAGATCTCAGACACTGTTCTCAGTGTTTTATCCTTTTTAAAAGCCTGAACTGGATTAGATCAGTCTATGAAGCACTTTATGCCCCAGGGCATTATTGAAAATAATAGCATAATCAGTCAGCAATTAGTGGAGTTTTAACAGCTGGTGTCAACATGGGAAGGGACAAAGAGAACACTGTCAAAACCACTGCCCTCCAATGTAGACTAGGCAGACCTAAGGTTATACCTGAGGAGCAGTTTTAGAGGCTTCACACAGGGCATCAGGAAGAAGGCAAAAGAAGTAGACTTCGCTTAAAAAATGTCCAGTTTTCAACAACAACAAAAAAATTACAAGACACAAAGAATCAGAGAAGTGTGATCCATTAGCTGAAGAAAAAAGCAGGCAGTGGAAGCTGCTATTGAGAGCAGTCAAATACTGGATTTAATAGACAAAGACTTCAGAATAGTAGAGGAACAGAAAACACAAGACATTTAGAAAACAAAATGTAAAAAGGCTGATGTAAATCCAACTGTTCAATAGTGGTAACGGAAAGGATTGAACAATCCAATGAAAGAGATTTTAAGAATGGATTTTTTAAAAAGATGTAACTGTATTCTATTTGTAGGAAACACTTTCTACATTGTTTTTCAAAATTTTTTTTTAATTTTATGTACAAGTATGCAATTTTAAAGGATTTGGTTAAATATTTAAAGAATACAGATGTCCTTTTGTGACTGCTGTTTGAAAGGAAGTTAGCATCAAATATAGTTGATTTTAATATATACATCTTTGACTAATTTTAAGCGAAGGTAAGTTGTTGGATTTTAATTGGCTATTTACATATTTGTTAGTGAGTGGGAGGAGTAGGCCTTTGAATTTTTAAAAATCTGCTCACCTATAAATCAGCTGAATTATTAAAGACTGATTGAATACTTTTGTTGCTGAAGCCGGTTTGGCTCAGTGGTAGAGCGTCGCTCTGCGGACTAAAAGGTCAGGGGCATGTACATTGGTTGCGGGCATATCCCCGGTGGGGGGTGTGCAGGAGGCAGCTGGTCGATGTTTCTCTCTCATTGACGTTTCTGGCTCTCTATCTCTCTCCCTTCCTCTCTGTAAAAAATCAATAAAATATATTTTTTTTAAAAACAATACTTTTTCAGTATGTAACAGTGCTTGCAGGATTAGGATCAGACAGTATTATTGAATATGGGCTCTTTACTAAGAGAAAGACTTATTCTCACATGTATTTTTTTTAGGTATAAGGTTGTAGAAAATAGACTCGAGCTTTTTATATTTCCTTAAAACGAGAGGGGGATAGATTGGGAGATATACTTTGAAGAAAACAAAACCTCTTAATGATTTCATTTTGAGAAATAACAGAAAATCATATACATACTTTAAGAAAACATATTTTTCTGAATCAAGTGTGTTTATAAAAATGAGGATCCAGCTGGTCAATTCAGACACAATGTATAATGCTGTAATTTTTTCCTTCTAGTTAAAAGGCTAGCCACAGAGAACTTGCAGTGTATGGTGAAAACCTGCCAAGCGGGGTCAGAAGGAGAACCTGCCGCCCAGCTGACTGCAGTGTTTAGGTAACTGGAAATCATGCCAACTGGCAAGGAGACTATTGCCAGCCATTTGACAGCCAACATGTTTTTTAAATAACTAATTATCCAAAACATAATGTGTTACTACTTGTTTATGGTATTTTAATTATTGTATTTTTGGCAGTAGTTTTGTTGCATTGTGTTGTTTTATTAAAAAAATAAAGATGCATGCTCGTTTTGGCAGCACATATACTAAAATTGGAACGATACAGAGAAGATAGCATGACCCCTGTGCAATGATGACACCCAAATTCATGAAGCGTTCCATATTAAAAATTAAATAAAACAAAGGTGCCAGGGAGAAAGATAAGTGAGCTACTTCAGATTACCTGTATATTTAATAAGGAAGATTCTTACATGTATTAGGTCTAGTAATAATTAATGTCGTTTTCTAATACTTTTTTAAAATCTAATTTATTTAAACAATACAACAAAATTTAATCAACAATATAGTTGCCGTTGTTTTCTACTACTTGTGCCCAACGCTCAGGAAGCATTTTAATCCCTCTGTTGTAAAATTCTTGTGATTTTGATGTAAAAAATTCAGTCAATGCATTTTTGAGGCATTCTTCATTATTAAATTTTTTTCCAAGAAGAAAGTTTTGCAAAGAACGAAACAAATGGTAATCGGAAGGGGCAATATCAGGAGAATATGCAGGTTGAGGGAGAACTTCCCATTCCAACTGGCGCAGTTTTTCAGCAGTGATTCTTGCAGTATGCGGTCGTGCGTTATCGTGGTGAAGAATTACGCCCTTCCGATTAATCAGCGCGGGTTCTTTTTCTCTTAAAGCTTGGGCTAACCTTTCCAATTGGGCACTATACACTGCACTTGTAATGGTTTGGTTAGATGGTAAAAGTTCATAATGAAGAATTCCTTTAAAATTCCACCAAACACACAACATCACTTTTTTGGCGTGGACTGCGGAGCCTCATTTTTGTCCAACCATTGAGGCTGCCTTTTCAAATTAACATACAGCACCCATTCTTCATCTCCAGTCACAATTTGCTCTAAAAACGGCAAACTGTTTTGACGAGAGAGGAGCAAACTGCAAATTGTGACTCTTTGATTACGGTTGTTGTCGGTCAACTCATGAGGAACCCACTTTCCAAACTTTTGGACTTTGCCAAGTGCACGCAATTGATTGGAAATTGTTTTTTGTGAACAATTTAAAGTTGTCGCAAGCTCTTGTTAGGTAATTTGAGGATTTTGCACCAAAAGAGCTTGAAGAGCTTCTTGATCAAAATTGGACACACGGCCTCGACCACTCTTGTCATCTAACGAAAAATTTCCCTCGCGAAATTTCTCAAACCAACGCTGGCATTTTCTGGCGCTAACTGCATCTTGACCAAGAGCACTACAGATGTTTTTTGCAGCCTCACTTGCTTTTCTTCTTAGCCCTAGTTTTGCAACAAAAACCAAACCAAACACAAACTTTTTCAAGCAAAACTTGTTAGTTGCACTTCACACGTTCTGTAGATACCACGTGTTTGAAGGTTATGTCAATACAAGTCAACGCCAAGCAAGATTTTAAACGAATGTTTTAAAACGACATTAATTATTACTAGACCCGATATTTAAGAGGAAAAAGTGGGAAATGTGGGTCATTTTAAGTATTTCTTTCTCATCGTTTCTACCAGTTTACCTTTATTGTACGAATCTCTACCCTAGCACTGCCATAATAAGCAATTTACTGTCATTTTCTTCATCTGTGCTGGATCTTTGATTCCTCAGTGTTTATTTTTATCACATAATTAGTACTTTTCAGGTGTCTAGTTTATTTAAATTGTGAGCATTTGAAATAAATAATGGATTTGTGAAAACTAAAACCCTAGAAGGGGAAAAAGAATTTAGATGAATAAAGCATGCATGTTTGTTATAGGGTTAAAATATGTAATTCTAATTTATAAAGGTCTCCTATGGGCCTAAAGTCTCTTGTTTGGTTCCAGAATACAAAAATATATTAAGAATAACTTGCTTTCCTTATAAAAATATTGTTTTGTTTATCTAGAGTCATGAAGAAATTTTTTAATACCTAGGAAGCCAGACTTGTTTTTTTCTTAGTCTCTTACACATCTTTACCACCCAGATTTCAACATACAGACTGTAGCAGAAATCCCCTCCTGGGATTCCAACTCTTCCCTCTTCCTCTTGGTGCCTCTGCTTTCTTAGCTTACATTGAAATAAGCCATTTCTGTCCTTCCTTTTTAACTGTTATTTTCTTCTTACTCTTAATTCTAGATTCTTAAAGTACTTTTACATAAAATGATCTATCTTGTGTTCAGGGTATAGCTGATTACCATATAGATACCAGCCCAAGGAATTGATTGCCTCAGAAGTAATCCTAAGTAACTTGATTTACTTTCAGGCATTTTATCCAGGATTATGGTATGAGACACGATAATCAGATTTACAGCATTTTAGAAACAGTAGCAGCATTGGACCAGCAGGTTGTCATCCACTTGATTCCTACCCTCACTCAGTCTCTGAAGGATTCAGAGCAGAAATGGGGCCTTGGCAGAAATATGACCCAAAGGTAGGTTTGATAATTTGATTAAGTTCTTTTGGGCATGACTAAAAATCTAGATTCATTTTTCTAGAATGGCTTTGTTTTTCATTCCCAAAAATATGGCGTGTATTTAATTAAAACATGTTTTAGTGCTATGATTGACACATCCATTCACACACATTGTTCATTTCAAAGTGACCACCCTAGAAAGCTGTCTATTTCTGCAGCTTTCTTGTATTGCTGCTGTTGCTCACAACACATGTTCCTCATGGGGAAGTGGACGGGTAAGCCTTATGTGCCTTGTTTTGTATAAATTCCATGGAGGCAAATCAGTCCTTTTAAGGATGCTTGATTTACTGGATCAACTTTGTCATGTATATCCAGTTAATAGGCTGAGTGCCCCAATTAGAAAATATCGTTTTTGGTAAAAAATAGATAAGGTTTTCTGTTTTGTTTTTTAATAGGTTTACAACCCAATTAAGGATAGCGTTTGAAATAGTCAGGGTAGTACAACATTGTGGAAATACGCCTGTAGTTCCTAAAGAGATGGTTTTTGAGGTGTCATCCTCATACTGAAATTCGTGTGTCCCAAGGTTTGTTAAGGAATCAAAGTATTTTAATCACATGGTGGGAGTGTACGAACAGAGTCCAGCAAGTTCAGTTTGTAAATACATAAATGAAAAGTAATGGAAAAGAAATAAATCTATCTGTCTTCTTTTCTCTTATACAGGAAAGCCTATAGCAAACTTTTATGTCACCTAGGACAAGTGGGACAAGATGAGATGCAGAGACTGGAAAATGAAAGCAACTAATATGTTTGTGATTCATCTTTTTTATTAATTATAACTATCCTAACCCAGGTTGCATCATTCTGACCCCTTTTAATTAATTGTATGCTGTTCTGTTAAAATTATTTTCTAGGATTTTTTCCTTACATAACTAAACATAAACATATAAATAAGTAAATAAAGGTTCATTAAGTGTGTTTTGGAATCTCTGGAACTAAATTAAAGAAACTTTTTCTAACTGGGAGTGTTACCTGTGTGTAGCAGATCCATGGACTTTTTACAATAATGTGACTTAGTGTCTTGTGACTTGTTTGTGTTTGTTGAGATTTTTCACAACTTATCTATAATAATAGAAGTGTAATATGCTAATTAGACTGGATAGCCAAATGACCTTCCCAAGGAAACGGGGGCTGCGAGGGCCAAGCCCCTTGCAAAAATTTCATGCATCAAGCACCTAGTGTTGTAATAAGATACCTTCCTAAGTTTTTTGGAAGCCGGGAGAGGGTTAAGAGATAGAACTGTTTGTTAATTGTATTTAATTGTATATGAGGCAAATTAATGAGTAAAACCCTTACCAAACCTACTTAACTCTGTGAAGAATGAGACCAAAAATCTGCCTGAATGATTGTACAGATAATATATAAGTGTGTTTTTGTTGTTGTTTTAATTAAGCCAAAGGTGTTTAGGTAGATTCCAACAGTTGCAAGATGTTGTTCCTTACTCATTCTTTCTTTGACAGTTGTCATTAACAGATATATCAGAAAGAAGATAAACGAGAATCTATAAGGAGATGATAAGTAATAATATCCTGGAAAATCTTAGTATTACAAATTAGCTGAAGAGGTCTGAGAAGTCAGCTGATTTATCCCCTTACTCATCAATTAGAACCTCTTATATATTAGTATCTTTAAGCAGCTATTGGGCCTCTTAACTCTTTAACAATCTCATCCAGATTTGTTTTACCAGTTGGGCTCTTGACTCCTTTTTACAGTAAGCATTATTTGATAAAAAGAGCTCTAGTCCTAGTGTTTGGAACTCACCTGAGTCTCAAACCTAGCTCTGCTTTGTGACCTTGAGCAAGTTACTTAACCTTTCTGAGCCTTGGTTTCTTCATGGAGAAAAAAAAAGACTTCTTTTCCTATTTTACAATGTTCTGAGAAGATTCAGTAGAAAAATGTGAAATATTTGGTAACTTGTATTCTGTTTGTACATGCACAGATATGATTACTGTATTATTTATACACAGGTTAAAAAAAAAAACAAACCCTCAACTTTGTTCCTCTTTCTTTAATGTACTGGATGAATGATCCTACTTTTTTTGTGATGTTTTCTTAATTTCTTTCTCCTGGGATTCTGGTCTTTTTCATGGTTCTATTCCTTGAAGAAAACATTTCAACCCGCCGAGACTGGTTTGGCTCAATGGAGAGAGCATCGGCTTGGGGACCGAAAGGTCCCGGGTTCGATTCTGGTCAAGGGCATGTACCTTGGTTGCGAGCATATCCCCAGTAGGGGGTGTGCAAGAGGCAGCTGATTGATGACTCTCTCATCGATGTTTCTAGCTCTCTATCTCTCTCCCTTCCCTTCCTCTCTGTACAAAATCAATAAAAATTTTTTTAATTTTTCAACCCTTTTCTGGTTCAAAAGTATTTTAAAATTGCAATGTATTGCAATCAGCAAAATATAGTTTATAGCACTCTCCTAATTATAATCTGAAGTCTAAAGAAGTATCTGTTGTTTTCATAATATACAATGGTCTGTTTCCCCCCCCAAATCAGCTTCTGTCCTTCAGTGAAATGAATGAGTCTCTTTGTGGTCACTTAAAAGACTTCGTATAAATGAATTTCTTTTCATTATGATCATTATGATAATGACTTGTTAAACTGTTTTATCTACTTAAAATGATGCTTTTAAAAGAGTTTTATGTATAGGTTATATATTTTTATTTTCCAAGGGAGACTGATAATGATATCCGAGAATCTTGCTCCTTGGAGTATGAAACTTAAAGGATAAGAAAAGCTGCTGCTGAGTCATGCATTAGGGTGAATAACTGTGGATACTGAGAATAACTAGCCGAAACCGGTTTGGCTCAGTGGATAGTGGAAAGGTTTCAGGTTCAATCCCGGTCTAAGGCATGCACCTTGGTTGTGGCACATCCCCAGTAGGGGGTGTGCAAGAGGTAGCTGATCGTTTTCTCTCTCTGTTTCTCTATCATCGGTGTTTCTAACTCTCTATCCCTCTCTCTTCCTCTCTGTAAAAAAAATAAAATAAATTTTTTAAAAAATAACTAAAGTTTATACTTAAGAAATCAGTTGCAACAAAAAGTCTATTAGCAATACAGGTATGTATATATGTTTTTTATTTATAAGGAACATTTTAAAGAAGCTGTTTTTAACTGAAGAAAAAATTTATGACTCAGTTCCTTTTAAAATCTTCACTGGCCCTTCACTCATTATTATAACCTTATCTTTTTCCATTCCCAGACCTTAAGAGTACCTTATAACTGCTTCCTTAATATCCATTTTTCCCGAGATACCATATCTCTGAGGCTACTGCTCTACCTTTTGTTTTGTAAGTCGCTCTCTTTTGGTGAAATCAGAAAGTACGTCCTCATTTTTCATGTTCTTTGGCCTCTGTGGCATTTTCATTTTCATTTGTTTTCTCATCCCTTCTCAGGGAAACTGCTCCTTCCTACATGCACTGAACTTGGAGAGCACCTTCACATTTTTTCATGTCCCAGTGGTAAGATCTCTTCTTCACCTATTCTGCCTCAGCATCCTTCTTGTAGTCTGTTGGTAGCATTAGCTCATAATTTTCTTTCTCATATCTATTTCTTGGGCTAATTTCTCTCTAAATCATTCCTGAAATTTCTAGGCAACATGTCAGGCTGCCCTTGTCACCTTATATTCCAGTCTACCTGTCTTTATTTTCTACCCAGGCAATACACTGTTATTTCCTTACCTGTGAAACTTCAGGGGCAGCTTGGATTCTTCATTGTTCCCACTTTGTTGATCAGCAGCAGAGGCTCTTGCTATTTTTTTCCACTCCATGCTTCTTGGCTATTTTTTTCTTTTGAGCACTATAATCTCTTACCTTTGGTCTCTTTTTCTGCAGTTAATCCTTTTCCCAGTTCTGACATTAGTGTTCCTAAAATACTATTTTCCTCTTGTTACTTTTCTGCTCAGGGCCTTCGAATTAACTTCCCATTGTTAGACAAATCCTTCAATCAGACTTTCTGCCATCTGACTTTACCTTTTCTGTTCAAACTTACCTCCTGCAGAAGAATAGATGTCTAGACTGTCTGAATGCATGTTCATTCTATACACTGAGAGTATGCCAGTCAACTAATTTTTGTGAAATATTAGATGGAGTGTAAAGAAGATGATTGAGGCGCAACAGTGTGATGAAGTGACTTTATTAGACATTCAGATTTGGTAATGATTGAATGCTTTTAATTGAACATTTAATGTTTCCATGGGAAAGAAAAAAATGGAGTATTGACTCTATACAAAAAACATTTGATACTGAGTTCATTTGCATTAGAAGAATTTCATAGTTTAAGACTTTTTTTATCTCTACCTATTCCTAGCATATTTTCTTTTCTTCTTAAGTATAACTATTTCTACCCAGGCATCTATGAAAAAAAATAGTTATAGGTTATTGACTTTTATATCTTTACCTATTCCTAGCATATTTTCTTTTCTTCTCAAATATAACTATTTCTACCTGGACATCTATGTAAAAAAAAATAGTTGTGGGTTATTAGACTAATTATATGTTGTCATTGTTAATTTTTCTCGGGCTTTATCACAAATTTTTAAAGCTACTTTGTTGTTAAAGAATTACATGGATCTGTCTTTGGACTTTGACAGTTTTTAATTTTGTGTCCCTTTGTTAAGATTATATGTTACAAAAAAATTGATAAGCCTCTGCAGTGGGGAGAAGCCTGTATTGAATCCTACCTTCTTTAAATACTAAATCTTACACAGCACTTGTCTTTTGAAGATAAAAGATAGGTATCATAGGAACTTCACTAAAAGCTGTATTTATCAGTGCTAAACCACTGCTCTTTGAATGATAGACTTTTTACATAACTTACATTTTCCAGAAACAGATGTCTTGTCCACTCCTCCTAGGGTTAAAAATATTGCCTTGTCAGTCAAGTGTAGAGTATACCCATGTAAATAACATGCTTTGTTAGGTGGTTGATTTGGGAAGCTAAGTAGCACATTCTTTTAAATATATGAGACTTGTATTTTGATTCTTTGATATATAAGGTTACCAAAATCAGTACCATATGATTGGAATTGACCATTTTCTGCTTATTAAAGTTTTGGTGTGATAATAGTTATTTGATTATTGCATTTGCAAATTGTACTTATAGAATTCTGGCCATACTTGTATTATAAACATGTTTATAAGTTATTTTGTATATATATTAAGGATATGTAATAAAAATGTATTTATTTAACTTAGCCTGTACTCATGATTATTCAACTTCCCCTTTTTATGACAGATAAAATAATTTTTACTCTATACGATTGTTTTCATACTCTTTAGTAAAACACTAGTTTTCCGGCTATTGCAGTGTCTGAAGGGAATACAATATCCATCTAGTTTAACGAAGAAAGCATGAAGAGAAAAAGTGTAAAAAGTACCCTAATCATAACCTAACTGGCATTATGTTATTAAGGACCCAAGGAATTTTATTGCATTTTACATTTTAGAGATTCATATCTTTGCTGGCTTTTCCTCCCACACTAAGAACACTGCCAATATCTATGTAGTACTGCTTTTTAAAAGTAAAATACTAAAATGATGCTTAATTAGTTGGAGGTTTCATGATGATCTATGAAAATTCAAATTGATAATTTGAATATAAAAACAATATGGTCTTTAATTTTGAAGAGTGAAACTAGAAGATGAATTGCTATAGGATAGTACACTTAAATGCAAAAATATGTTTGAATAGTTTCAATGGAATTTGGTTTATCTAACCAAACATAGTCTTTTTTCCTTTATTAGCTCTTACTATTGGTGATATGAGGGAAAGGATCTAATTATAAGTGATCTCTAAGTTCTTTTTCTTTTTTAGGGGAGAGATATAGTACCGTGTTTCCCTGAAAATAAGACATCCTCTGAAAATAAGACCTAGCACATGGAAAGATAAAACATCCCCTGAAAATAAGACCTAGCGCAACTTTGGGAGAAAAAATTAATATAAGGCACTGTCTTATTTTCAAGGAAACAAGGTAGTTTGTCTTCTGTTCTTGGGCTATACTTATAAAGGGTTTATAAAGTTTTTGAAAATCATGTAAAGCTTTTAAAAATTATGAGTTCAATTCTTTTAATACTATGTTCACCATGGAAGAGTTTGGTAATATATACTGATTTATTTAAAATAAATAGAAATCCACACAGAAGAAAATCAAGAGTACTCTCAGGCTGTCTTCAGTTACCATTAAGCAAACTTATTTTTAGATAAGTTTACTTGTTGGATATACGGTCTGGGGTTACAAATAGACTAATGTTTTACAAGGTAAAACTGCTACAGGGAAAAATCTGTATGTCAAGTAGAAGAATTGTTGAATCTGAAATATTTCTTGCATAAGTCCTTGTTGAAAACACTTCTGAAATGCTGTCCATTTTTCTGACCTGGTACGGCATTTTTAAAATTTAGTTTGGTTTGTTTACACCTTTTAAAGAGATTATCTGTCATCTTTCATTAAATATAAATTTATCAATGTCACTTTCAGAACTGTACAAATACTCTCAAGATTTTTTTGTTTCTCTAAACTAAATCTCTGTTCTTTAAAATTTACTTTGTTTCCTTGCTCCTAATCTCTCTCCCCTCCCACCCTTGAATCTGGATAGCCAGAAAACATATATTTTAGGTATCTTATAATGTATAAGATTAGTGAATTCTGTATTTACAATAAAAATCTTTAAAGTGTTTACATGATTATAATTAGAATTTCCTATAAATTCAGGATTGCTGGATGATTAAACTATGTCTAGGGAAAATGTCAGTGAAGTCTTTTAATAGAGGTGACTTAGATTAGGAAAAGGGGAAGACACATTTTGTTGTTGACTTTGTTCAAATTGATTATTGAGTTGTTTTATTTTTGGTTATGGACAAAGCAGATCCAAAAAACCTAGCCTAAAAATATCCTTATGCATTATTAAAAGTGGTAGTAATAAAATGTTCATTGGTCGTAGGAAAGAATCCCACAAGCACTCAAGATTGACATAACCTTTAACAAAGTGAAAAAACTTGTTAGAATTACTGATTCTAGGTTCAGATTTATGTCAAAGCACTTTATGATACCAAAATTAGTACATCTAATTTTTTTGGAGTATAAAATGTCATTTTTCAATAAATGAACTTAAATGAGATGTTTGAGGGAGTTATTATTTGAGGCAAGAATTTGTGCAAGTTTAGGATTCTTTGGGTTTGGTAAAGTCCCTTTTTTCTAATTAGCATTATCTCTTTCACCTGCTTTTAGAATCATTTATTCTATAGCATGTGTTTGAAATTCTACATAGTAATTTTTAAAATTCAATAATCTCTCTATTCAGGTACATCATTCCTAAGACAGTAAAATACCTTGGAATTTGAGTAACATTTTTTTCCCTTGGGTGAAGTATTTCAGTGCCTAATCTTCACACCATTCTTCTAAATTGATATGGAAATCACTAATTATCCTCCTTAAACAGTGGGAAAACTGAAGCTCTGTAAAGTTAAGCCCAAGTTCACAGAGTAATAAAGGCGAAAGAAAACTGTGAATATTCCGACTGCTGATCCCTTGTACTTCTATTATTCATATTAACTTAAATGCATTATGGCATTTTAAAATTCATGATGTCATAATGTTGGGTCTCCACTGAATAGGGTTGTATAATGTTAATTTTTTAAAGGAAAATTATAAACCCAGGTTTAAGTAGCAAAGGGATTGAGTACTGAAGTATTTTAGAGATCAATGACAGTACTTGTAAATAAATTGACTTGCTAGTGCTGTCATGTTGTCCTAGACAGCTCTGGTTAGAAAAAGTGTAGAAAAAATGCTCTAAAGACCCATAAAACAGAAATGGACCATTAAGTTGGCACTAAGCTATACCACAATAAAAGTCATTCATACATATGCTGTTGTATTGTACAATACATTACACACACTGGAAAAGGGTGACAGGAATTTTCAGTTATGTATTTTAGAAAATTGTTCTTTTTTTTTTTCTTTTTCCTTTTTTCTAATGTTTATCTGAATATAAGACCTATAAAACAAGACAGGGAAGCATTGAGCACTCAGTCTTTTCATGCCCAGTATCCAAAAGTCAGGCTTTTTTTCCTCCTGTTGTGATGGTAATTAACAGAGCATTGGCTTTTCAGATGGTGCCAATCCTGTGATGAGGCACTTGAAGAGTTTGAAGATTAGGGCATGTGAAATATGGAGCTGGAAGGAAACATGCTGCTATTCCATTGGAAGCAAAAGGGAGTGTAGGCCCATAGAATACTTCTTCCTTGCCTTCTCTACTTACATCCAAAACCTATAAAGGAAGAGAAGAAGCCTGCGTGTCAGACATGACTGCTCAAAATAAAGCTGTGTACACATAAAAGGAAGCCTGCAGTTAAGTTCAGTTACAGTACACCATCATGACCATACCTTAGCCATTGCTATTTTCCTTAAAACTAGAGGCCCAGTGCATGAAATCTGTGCATGGGTAGGGTCCCTAGGCTTGGCCAGTGATCAGGGCCAATTGGAGTCTTCCCTGGCTGCTGGCTGGGGTCTTCCTTCATTCAATGCCACCCTCTGGTGGTCAGCGTATGTCATAGTGGTTGAACTCCCAGTTGGTCGAACTCCAGAGGGGACACTGCATATTAGCCTTTTATATAGGATACCAAATAAGTATTAAGTTCATGCTAAGTGTTTATATACTTGTGTATGTACATACATATACTTATAATAATTTAATCTTCAGAGGAATGGTGAGGTAGGTAGCATTATCCTTAGACTGCTTAAATAACATGTTCAAACTACCGTATTTTTCGGACCATATGACGCACTTTTTCCCCCCCAGAAGTGGGGGGGGAAAGTCCCTGCGTCTTATGGTCCAAATATAGCCTACACATATACTTTTAAAAAAAAAGTTTTTTTACTTGCCCGGCTCTGTGTGGTCTCTGTGTGCTTGCCCGGCTCTAAAATGGTTCTAAATGCTGTTGTTTACTTTACAGGGTTGATTACATGTGTTTATGACTGTGATGTTGGGTTTTAATGCACATAAAATATTTTAGGACACTATTTGTTTCAGAATCTTTTTTTCTTCATTTCCCCTTCTCTAAAAACTGGTGCGTCTTATGGTCCGGTGCGTCTTATGGTCCGAAAAATATGGTAGTTAGTAGGTGTAGTCATATATTAGGTTACAAATGCTCAGTTGTAAAATGGGGAAAACAACATTGACCTTCCAGCATTGTTCTCAAAATTGGTGACATCCAGCTCTGTCTAACACACAATATACAGGACAGCTTAGTAGCAAATTCACAATCAGTTCCATTGATTCTGGAAATTTTCTCCAGTCATTCCTTTTTCAACCTAGAGTTCTATCTCTCTTATATGGAAGAGAGTCTCTTTGTTAGTCTGTGCCTGCTGACATTTCACCAAATCTGACAATCTTACTACTAGGACTATTTGTTAGGAAAGTTGGTTATACCTCATTTGTTTAATTCATTAAGCTCTTCAAAGCCTCAAACACCTAAATCTATCTCTAATCTCATTTAAAAACATTCTTGGAAGAGGTCCAAGATGGCAGCAGCACAGGTGATGCAGCTCACCCTCAAACAGTGGGATTAACAGGCTGCCAATACACACGTGCCCTGGGTCACCACTCCCAGAGCCCACTGTTACTCATGCACACGGGGCTACCTCAGAACCCACGCCAGCCAGTGTCCCAGGCACCTATCCCATGCTCCAGTGTGCCTTCCCAAACTACGTGGCACACTCGGTCAATGGCTTCTGTGTAAGGCCATTTTTTTAAGATTTGGAGAGAGGGAATATGCTAATTGACTCATGCCCTCATAAAGATGGCAGCACCCACAGCCATAAGATGGTGGTGCCCACTTCCCTCGGCCCTGCCTCATCCAGCTGGAGTCCCCCAATCCCCTCAGCCCTCAGGGGAAGGCAATTGGGGGCTATTGGACCAGCAGGGGAGGGCAGTTGGAGGCATTCAGGCTGGCAGAGGAGGGAAGTTAGGCGTCAATTAGGCTGGCAGGGGAGCAGTTAGGGGGCTATCAGGCTAGCAGGCGAGTGGTGAGGAGCCAGCAGTCCCAGACTGTGAGAGGGATGTCCCAGATTGGAGAAGGTGCATGAGAGGGATGTCCCAGATTGGAGAAGGTGCAGGCTGGGCTGAGCGACACCACCACCACAAACCACCCCCCCACCCCCGGTGTACAAACTATAAACCAGGCCTCTAGTTCATATAAATTCAGAAATACAAGCACAATGAGAAAAAGAATATGTCCCAGATGAAAGAATGAAACCCAAAGTAAAAACAAAACACCCTAATGAAGTGGAGATGAGAAATTTGATAATTCAAAGAAAAAGTCAAGGATGTTCACCAAACATGAGAATAGAAGTGAGAACTTCAGAAGAACTTCAACAAAGAGTTACCAAGTATAACAAAAGAGTCTATCGGAACTAAAGAATATAAAATAACTGAAATGAAAAAATACACTAGGAGGAACCCACAGTATATTAGATAATACAGAAGAACAGATTAATGACGTGGAAGACAGCCAGTTAGAATAGCAAAAAATTTAAAGAATCATCTAAGGGATTCTGGGACATCTATTCAAGCACATAAACATTCGCATATGGAAATCCCAGAAGGGACAGAAAATGTATTTTAAAAAATAATACCTGAAAATTTTTCTAATCTGGGTAAGGAAAGACATCCAGATCCAGGAATCACAGAGTTTGAAACAAGATTAACCAATACATATTGTAATAAAAATGGCAAAACTTGAAAGAGGGAAACAATTAGTCAAAAAAAGAAAACCCCAAAAGGTTATCAGCTGATTTATCAGCAAAAACTCTACAGCCCAGAAGGGAGTGGCAGGACATTTTTAATGTACTGAAAGGAAGGAAATCCACAACCTAGAATACTCTCCTGGAAAGATCATTCAGAATTGAAGGAGGGGTAAAGAGTATCCCAGACAGGAAAAAAAGTAAATGAATTCATAAAACCACCAAATCTGCTTTACAAGAAATGTTAAAGGATCTCCTTTCAGTGGAAAAGAAAAGATAACCAGAAATAAAATGTTTGAAAGAAAGAAATCCCGTGTGAAACCATTGTGCTGTATGCCTGGAACTAAAATAATATTGTGTGCCAATTATACTTAAATAATTTTTTACAATAAAAGTTAAGTAAGACCTTTTCTCCCTTGGATTCCATACTTATCACTGACATTGCCCTGTTAATAGCTTTCCACCTCTGGTCCCTTTTCCTCTACCTGCTTACTAAATGTAGGAGTGATTCAATATTCCAACTACAGACCTGTTGTTACTCTTCTTTAATAATCTTGTCCACTCACATGCCTCCAACTATCGCCTCAGTAAATAATTCTGAAGTATTTAACTGTAATAATGCATTATTGCAGATGAAAGGGGCTCTTGAGATTTGGTGCTCCAAGCTCATAAAGGAGAAAATCACTAAGGCATAAAGTAAAAGAAAAATTACACTTGTTGCTACTTTCCCCTTAAGTGGAAACTAGGTATCTCACCCCATTTACTAAACAATTTACCCAGAGACTGCTAATTTAAAATATCTCTATTTAGGCTAGATGCAAACAAGTTTTTTATCTTTTGTTGACTTATGTGTCTTCGTGCAGTACTATGTTTACAGTTATTTTGACTGGGTAAGGCAAGTTTCCCCCATTCACTCAAAATTTTTTCTTGGTTATACTTACATGTTTGTTTACTTTCCTAGAGAATTTGATAATTGTTCCCCACTCTATGAAAAAAGGAAAATCTCAAATGAGATTCTGATTAGTAGTCATTGAATATAGAAAATAGGGATCTTTCTATATTTACCTCAACTATATAAAGTTAATTATTGTTTTCAATTAACAGAGAAGAAAATTGAGTTCTAGAGAAAGTTCAATGACTTCTAAAAGTCACACAGCTAGTAAGTGGTAGCACCAATAATGGAACTCAAAGTTGCATCCCAAGAGCAAGAATTTTGTGGCATTCATGACACCCCTTCATCTGAATAAATTTTTAGAAGGCAATATAAGAGTTGAGGTCATTCAGAGAGCATTTTTTCTGGTTCCATGGAACAACAGGGACTGAATATTTTAAGCATATATATATATATATATTTATATATATATATATATATATATATATATATATATATATATATTTATTATTATTTTTTTTAATCTGTGAGAAGGGAAAGAAGTGTTGGCAGTTTTTCTCCAAAGTACTCTCCTGTAAACTGCCAGAAAGAAGGCACTGGAGAGGAGGAGGTACCAGCTTGACGACATACCCTCTAGCCAAAAAATAAAAATAAAAATAAAAAAAGGAATAAGTGAAGAGAGTGGAGGTAATCTGGAAGCACAGACTAATCTTGTGTACACTTATGCAGCTGCTCCCTTTTGTGCTGCTCATCATCCATGGTACGCCAGATAGGAATCAACCTTTGTGCCAGACGTTTGCTTGTACTCCCACTGCATAAACAAGAGCACCTCATTTTCCAAAGGAGTCTTCTTAATATTTGCCATGAGTCTTCATTACTAGCAAGTCCAAATCTCAATCTTTAAACAAGTATGCATTGGAGAGCAAGCTTTTCTCTTGTTTGAGTTGCTTTCCTATGCTAAGTCAAGTAGTAAAAGAAAATAAAATAATAGGCTTTCTCAACATCTAACATGCTTCATCCCTGTGTGGCTGAAGCCTCAGATGGCAGTTAAGCTTTAATTAGAGTACAGAATGGGCAATCTAATGTGACAGTTTTTAAAAAGTTTTAAATCTAATGAGCAATTTATTGACTGATATTTTCAATAGAAAAAAAAAAGACTTCAGTTGTGGATGTTAACAAACCAATGTGAACTGTTTAAGTGTGAACTTCACTAATCTTAACCATGCATGCCCTTAGAAAAGGAATATGTATGAAAAATTTAAGTGTTGATGTTTTTTAGATGTGGACTATTTTCTCCACCATTTTCCTGTACTTTTCAACCTGCTGATTTATACTTAGGAATTTCTAATGTCTAGCCAACATGTTCTCATAAACACTATTCCTGTCTTCCATTATCTTGCTTGTCTGTTGGATATTCTTCCAGCAAGTAGTAAAGAAGTTTGCTTCTGAATATGTAGCTAGTCTCTCCAACCATCAATACATTACTATTAGTGATCCAAAATAAGCACTTCCATCATCACCCATAAAATAAGTATTTGAGATTATGCAATCATAGTTTAGAATGAGTGATTATATCATCTGTAACCAGTTGCCAATAACAAAAAAATATATATGATAAGTCCATGAAGACTTCCATTCCAAATATATCTAAGTGGCAATCTGAATACTTATATGAACACTTATTATATATAAACAGTAAAGACTCGCAAAGGCTTTTATCAAATTTACCTGTGCTTTGTAGTATCAGTGTGCCAGCCGAGAGAAAAAACATAGCATTTGCAAAATGAATCATTTTGTATGTCAAAATGGCTAATGTAACATAGAACTAACCAGAATACTGACTTTTTAAAAAGCAAGCATATTAGAATATGTGATCTCACGTGGTAAAATGTATTCTAATACAGCTATTGATCAAAATATTTATGAATCATCTCTTACACTAGTAAAATCACCTTAATTCTGAGGCTACTCTAGAATATCTTTAGTGGTTTAAAATATACCAAAGTACTTCATCTTTTGAGGACAACAGATTTGTTTAGGAAAAGCCAAAAGTCATTAACAGAGCACTGCCTATTGCCGAGTTCAAAGTTTTAAATTCTGAGAAGTAAAAAAATAAAAAGGAATCCAAAACTCAGTGAAGACTGGCAAATACATGTTTGGATGATAGACTAAAAGCACTCCTTGTGGGAAAGCAGTTTGCTTATTTTTATTCAAAAGATATAAGCAAGCACCAGTACAAAGAAGCCTTCAATTAACTAAAGACTTCTTTAAAGACTTTAATATCTTATAGGACTAACTTGTAGCTTTGAAATTTTTCTATTGTATTGCTGTTTAATAATCTATTTCTTTCCTCTCATTTATATTATCTCCTACCTTTAGTTTATTCTTTGGTTTATTTTCTAATGTATTATCGTATATTTATTTTCTAATCTGTCCCACAAGCTTTGCTATTGTTTTTCACTATCCCTCAGTTTTGGGTATTTTCTTTTAAACTTCCACTATGACTCCTTTAAGTTATTTAGCAATTTATTACAAATTTGACATTTGTAAAACCAACCAATGTAATACACCATATTAACAAAATGGCAGATAAAAATCATATGCTTATCTCAATTGATGTAGCACAAGTATTTGGCAAATTCAACATCCATTCATGATAAAAATTCTCAGAGGTGAGGGGATAGGAGAGAGATTAACCAAAGAACTATATGCATACTAGAGGCCCGGTGCACAAAATTCATGCATGGGGGAGGGGGAGTCCCCTCAACCCAGTCTGCACCCTCTCCAATCCAGGACCCCTCGGACATCCCTCTCACAGTCTGTGACCACTGGCTCCTAACTGCTCACCTGCCTGTCTGCCTGATCTCCCCAAAATGCCCCCTCTGCTGGCCTGGTCACTCACAACTGCCCCCCTGCTAGCCTGATCACCCCCAACGCCTCCCCCTGGCCTGATCACTCCTAACTGCCCCCCAGTTGGCCTGGTCACCCTTTATTGCCCCCCCTACCAGCCTGGTTGCCACCAACTGCCCCTGCCCCCCACCAGCATGGTTACTCCTCACTGACCCCCTCTGGCGGCCTGCTTGCCCTGAACTGCCCCTCCCCCCACACACACCCCCGCCAGCCTGGTCGTCGCCCCACACAGTTCAGTTGTTTGGTCGTCCCTCACTAACCCCCCTGCTGGCCTGGTTATCCCATGCAGACTATTGGTCATCCGTTCGGTTGTTTCAGTTGTGATGGTCACTTAGGTTTTTATATATATATAGACTAGAGGCCTGGTGCATGAAATTCATACATGGGGGGAGGGTGTCCCTCCGCCCAGCCTGCCTTTCACAATACAGGACTGCTGGCTCCCAACTGCTCACCTGCCTGTCTTTCTGATTGCCCCAACTGCTTCTGCCTGAGACCATAAAATTAGAAGAAAACACAGTTACCGGTAAATTTATTGACATTGGTCTTGGCAATGATTCTTTTTGTATTTGACACCAAAAACAAAGTCAGCAAAAGCAGAAATAAACAAGTGGGACTATATCAACCTAAAAAGCTTATGCACAGCAAAGAAAAACATTAAAAAAAAAAAATGAAAATGCAACTTATCAAATGGGAAAAAATATTTGCAAATCGTATATCTGAGAAGGGTTAATAATCAAAACATATAAAGGATTCATACAATTTGTCTGTAAAAACTCCAAACAGCCCTGGCCGGCTTGGCTCAGTGGATAGAGTGTCAGCCTGTAGACTGAAGGGTCCTAGGTTCGATTCCAGCCAAGCGCACATGCCTGGGTTGTGGGCTTGATCCCCAGTAGGGGACATGCAAGAGGTGGCCAACCAATGATTCTCTCACATCACTGATGTTTCTCTCTCTCCTTCTCCCTTCCTCTCTGAAATCAACAAAGAATTAAAAAACAAAACAAACAAAAAAAAACTCCAAACAATCAATGAACCCTGTCCATCTTCCAAGGTTTATCCTTCATGAAGCCTTATCCTCTCCATTCTCTGCCAACTTCCTAAATTCACATGCAAGGTCCCCCATTTCAGAAACCTTAAAAAGGTAGCAGATCTCCCTCAAGGAATTAAAGATCATGAAAAGGCAACCTACAGAGTAAGAAAAAAATACTTGCAAATCATATGTTTGATAGGCAGGTAATATCCCCCAAAAATAAAGATCTCATAAAACCCATCAAGAAAAAAAATAAAAGACAAGCTGATTGAAAAAATGAGCACAGGATCAAATAAATATTTTTTCCAAAGAAGACATAACAAACGGCCAACAGGTTCATGAAAAGGTACTCAACATCACTAACATCAGGGAAATGCAAATCAAAACCACACATAATAAGATGTCATCTCAAACCTTATTGTGGGGGTTTTTGTGAAGGTTTGGCTGGAGAGGGGGCAGGAGCAGGGTGGAGAGGGTCAAAAAAGACATTTGTAATACTTTCAACAATAAAGTTAAAAACAATGGCTGTCATAAAAAAGACAAGAGGTAAGTATTCATGAAAATGTGGAGATATGGGAATCTTTGTGCACTCTTGGTAGATAATATCAATTGACGCAGCCACTCCAGAAAACATGACAGTTCCTCAAAAAAATATAATTTGCAAGTATTTTTCCTTTCCGCTGTACACTTTAAATTAATAGAATATTAAATATCAATCATATCTCAAACAGAAAAAAAACTACCCTCACTAATTGTTTGATCCACTCGGAAAAGCTTGTTAATTATGTTACAGTGGTCCTCCTTATCCATGTGGATACATTCCAAGATCTCCACTGATGCCTGAAACTGTGGTTAGTACCAGACCCTATATATATTGTTTCTTCCTATAAATATATACACTTCACATCTTCTCTTTGGAATATCTAAAATATCAGCATCACTTCTCTTGCACTTTCAGGCCATTATGACGTAAAATAAGGATTATTTGAACACAAGCACTGAGATACTACAACAGTGGCTCAGATAACCAAGCTGGCCACTGAGTGACTAAAGAAAGAAGAGCCATCTATGGTACGGTGTGGGTATGCTGGACAAAGGGATGATTCTAGTCCTGGGCAGATGGAACGGGTCAGAGATTTTATCACACTATGCAGAACAGTGTGCACTTTTAAATTTACAAATTGCTTATTTCTGGAGTTTCCCGCGTAATATTTTCAACTGTGGTTGACCATGAGTAACAGACAGCAAAAAGAAAATTTGGATAAGAGAGGAACTACTGTATTCATATCTATGCTACCCTTGCTAATTTTTATCTATATCAACACTATAAGTATGTTAAAGTCCCCAGAAAAACATCTGGCAAGACAAATCAGGAGAAGAAAACATTTTGAAAATTTAAGACAAATGAGAAAGTTACTTAAAAAAAATTTTTTTTTTTTTTTAATATTTATAAATTTCTTCTTCAGTCACAATCAGATGCCAGATCGATTCCCAGTCAGAGCACAAGCCGGGGTTTGGCTCGGTCCCCAGTGAGGAGGGTGCAGAAGGCAGCCAACTGATGTTTCCCCTCTCACATAGGTATGTCTCTCTCTCTCCCTCCCCTCTTCTCTCTCTAAAAATCAATGAAGATATTTTTTTAAATCATTCCACAAATATATCAGATAATATGAGTAGTTATAAGGATGTATTTTTTATGGAGATCAGGAAAAAGGTCAGGGCTAATACGTGTTGATATGATATCAGAGAATATGTAAAATAGAAGATACAAATTGTAAAAAATAAATAATAATAATTCTTGATACAAGATACAAATTGTAAAAAATAAATAATAATAATTCTTGAATATGTATGTCAACAAAAGCTACTGCTGTTCTCAACAGCCTCGCTGGCAACTTGCCCAGTCGGGCTGCTCACCTGCTGACCTGCCAAGACTATTATTTGGGGTAAAGGTGGCCCCATCAGACCAGTCACAACCCCCTGCTTCTCACTCTTCGGGAAGATAGAACACCTCTGTAGAGGGCATTTATGGAAATGAACAAATTACCATATAGAAAATAAGGAAATGGAATAGAAAGAAATTAGTGAAGTTTTAGGGTGTGAAAGTACTATTTCATAGATGTCTAGATTTTTCAAAGTTTTCATCTCCATTTTCAGTAGGGCTCCTTCTTACATTCCATTTTTGGGATGCTGCATGAGGTTTAGCTGCACAGTGGGAGCTCAAGCCCCTTTCTAAGTGTAAATATCTCTGCCTTCAGTAGCAGCTCTGCAAAAAATAACCTCCCTGAACCGCTGGAACAAACTTCAAAAGGAACTTCCACCACTCACCTGGATACAAGCCAGAGGCTCATTTGTCCAAATCGAATATCCACCAACTAAATAGATCCTCTCATTATGGACAGCAACTCCAGATTCATTTTGGCCTAAAGTAAAGAGAAAAAAAAGGGGAAAAATAAATCCCTCTCCTTGCATGTTTTAATTAACCCTTTTGCCCCTGAGAGATACAATATGCCCTGTGGTGGACTTGCATACTCCACAGGATTTCTGCAGCAACTAATCGCTGCCTCCCACGACTCGGAGGGAGAAATGAAGCACCATTTCTCAGCAAATGAATCTGTATCAGATCAGAACCAGGCCATACCACTGGTTAGCCAAGTTAGTGAAAACATCATAAACTACAGTAAAAATAAGCCATCGAGAACTACCAGTATCATATTGTTACACGCCATACATTTACAGTAGCAGAAAAAAAAAGGTATATTTTAGAAATTCAAGAAACCTCTTGTACTACAAATGCTTTTAAGGCAAGTGCTTACATTTGTAAAGTAACAGCTGCAACCCCAAGAAACCAATAAAACAGAGCCATGCCCCTAGCGTGGCCCACAATGAAGACAAATAGCAAAAAAGGCAGTCACTCCCCTTCCTCTCTTTACACACACAACAGCTTTAAGACTGTGTTAAAGTTTGTGAGCTGAGACCAGCCGGGATGGTCCCTAGATACTGACATGCCAACATGATGAAAGGTCCCTTCCCCGTTTAAAAAAGAAGACAGAATAACTCACTACCACATATTCCTCCCTTGAGGCCATCAAAGAGTGAGACAGTCTCTTTTATTGATGGGCTGACACAGGATTGACTTGGGTAATAAATAAGCTGGGTCCTGGAGCACACAGATCCAGGGACCCAGGGCTCATGCACCTCTACAGCAACTTGGACCAGAGTTAAGTACTGGTAGGTGGGCCTTAAAAATCAGTTTTTCAAAAAAAACAAAACAAAACAAAACAAAAAAAACAGAACAAAAACAACAGCTCAGTGCAAAATACTTGAGCCTCTCCCAGTAGCTATGTATGCCCTCAAGGGTGTTTCCCCAGCAGCAGCAGGTGGCTGAGGGCCCGCTGGGCATACTAAACCGTCTCCAAGCACTAGTCCTGCCCACCATTCTGAGTCTGTGATTTTCCTATTAGCAGAGCACCCTGGAAGGGATCTGGTCACCTGTGATTGTTAATGACGCTGCTGACAAGGGAGAAATAGTGTTCAACTCCAGAAAGAAATGTCTCAGGGGTAAGCTGTTCACCGCTTCCCTTTCATTCCCTTTCGGGACAAGGATGGCCCATACCTCGTCCTGCCCTGTGGTAAGGCTGGGATGGTTGTGTGTGCCCAGAAACACTGCCAAACCCCTAAGCTCACAACTGCTCAAAGGTTTAATCTTTAGGAGGAAACAGCCAGAAACAACATTCAACAGTGACAAATAATGAAAACCATGGAGAGACTCCCAACTTGCAACTGTGCCCTGCCAGCTTTCCTGACGGACTTCTCTCCTCTCTCTGACACCAGAGCGCACTGATGCAGATGGTCACTCCAACTCTGGCCATCCCGCCTCTCGCTAAGTTACTCCCCACCAGAAGGTCTCCTCAGTGTCTGACTGTGGAGTAGGAACTGATGCCATTGGGAAGGATGTACCCTGACCATGAATGACTGTTTTGTTTTGACAAAACATATTTCATGTTTTGCTATATGAAATACAAAATGCATTATAGCAGCAGTGAAAAAGCAAAAAATAAAAAAAAATAAAAAAAGGAAGGAAGGAATGAAGGAGGGAGGGAGGGAGAAAGGAAGGAAGGAGGGAAAGAAGGAAGGTAGAAAGGTAGGAAGGAAATGGCGACTAAAATTAATGAGAAATAAAAAATGATTTGCTTCTGTAAAGAGTCATTAACTCTTTCTGCACCTGGTTCCTCTATTTGTAGTCCAGTTCCTATGTGAATATATTGACAGTAATGGACTTGACATGGCTCTTAGCCACATGGGGGCACACCCAAGGGTCAAACTAGATGCTCAGCCACCTGACGGGGTAAAGTTTTATGAGATAAAGAATGTGCACCTTTCCAGTTAATAAAAGCAAGTTGTTCTAGTGCCGTGTACTCAGTATATTTAGAGAGGAAGCTTCCTGAATCTTAGCTTTTCCTGATTTAACAAAGGGACTTGCCAGTCAACAGGTTGAAGTTGCAGCGCGTCCACTGGTCGGTGTCTATGTTGTAGGAGTCTATGTGCCGCACCAGGATCCGGTCGTTGTTGTAGTCCAGGTCATTGCCTCCGAGGACATACAGCTTCCTGTGGACGGCCGCCATGGAGTGGTAGACCCTTCTCTGCAGCATGGGGCTGCGGCTTATCCACTTATTCTGGAAAGAGGAATTCAGGTGAATTCTGTTAATAGCAGAACTTCCTGGCAGAGAACAGCTGTGCCTCGTTAGCGGTGGGGCCCTAATGCTTGTCAATCACCTGTTTAAATGTCGTTCATAAACTCTGAAAGAAACGGGCTTCTTCCCTGAGAACAAGGGCAGAGACACCCACACAGTGCAGCTCTGTTTCCAATCACATAAGGCGTTTCCTCTGGTTTAGGTTGCATTTCATAGGGCCTTTCTCATTTGTAAGGGAAGGATAGGAAAATATAGAAAGTGAGAGAGTTTACGTATGCTAATTACCTAAGAGTGAAAGTGCATGGCTAAGTATACGGGCTAAGGTGGTGTGATGATTAAGAAACAGGCTCTGGACCTGGAATACCCGACTTTATAATCTGTGTGTAACCTTGAACAATTTACTTGACCTCTCTGTGCCCATTTCCCCATTTGCGAAACACAGCAGCTCAGTGCAAAACACCTGAACTTCTGTCACTGGTGATGCCCTCACTGGTGCCTCCTCATTGGGGCAATAATAGCCACCTGCCGAGCCTGTTGTGGAGGTGAAATGAGCTATCACACACACAGCATTTAGAACAATGCCTCACACATAACAAATATCCAATAAATATCCACTTTTAAAAAAGCATTGTTTTAATCACCGACTACCCCCAGCCCCTACCTAAGCTAGGGTGAGGGTGGCTTTGCTGTTCTTCTAAGATTAAGCTCTTGAGATCAAGATGCAAGCTAAGATTTGGTTCGGCAATGAATCCCTTCATTGCCTTTTATCGGCCTCCTTTAATGTATTTGCAATCACATTTTCTGTCAAACTGAGAAAAGTTATTTCTAGGCATGTATTGGTTTTTGTAGAAGGCCAAGGTTTATATGATAATTTTAGGCAATATTTGGTTCTGGGTTACTCTTAATAATAAGAAAGATATGCTCAATACCTCTTACAATAAGGCTCCTATTTAAAATATAATATAAAATTAGATGAAAATAAAATATGTCTAATTTTATATCTCAACTAAGTAATTGACAGATAAGTAAACATAACCATTTTTCTTTCTACATAAACCAAAACATACAAGAACAACCAGATTCCTTTTTGCCAAGGAAAATTTTGAATTTGACCAGAAAAAAAATTATATGATGTTTAGAATACATAGAATTTCAATAGTTCACGAAGCTGTAAAGGAAAAAGAAGAAAATGTTTTTTATAATATTGAGTATTATCTAAAGGTATATGTATCAGCTTATTTCTAATTTCTCTTTTAAAGATACATTGAAAACAAAACAAAACAAAAATGAAAGTGGTTTGTACAATTTGAAAGGCTTGCATTTATCTGTTTCTCCTTTTTTGTTGTTTTTAATCCTCATCCGAGGACATTTTTCCATTGATTTTTTAGGAAGAGTGGGAGAGAGAGGGAGAGACAGAGAAACATGTTGACTGGTTTCCTCTTCCAGGACCCAGGCCAGGGAGAAGCCTGCAACCAAGGTTCCTGCCCTTGACCGGAATTGAACCTGGGACCCTTTGGTTGGCAGGCCACTGCTCTATCTGCTGAGCCAAACTGGCTAGGTCTGCTTCGCCTTTTTAAACATGTCGTACTAAGAATCTCCTTCCAATTAAATGTCTTCTTTAATAAAATAGTCAAACCTTGCTTTCAGGTATTCCACTAGTAAATATCTTTAATACATTACGTGGGAGTGGCTTTACCTCAAAACCCTGATGACACTTTCCTTAGGATGCTTTCTATGAAGCAACCCTGTGTAATGTCAGAAATGGGTGTCTGCATTAGCAGTCCGGTCCCCAGCCATAGGACTGTGGACTCCATCTGGTTTGCAAAGCCTGCCTGCATCCCCTGATTACATCTTTAGCCTCCTTCACTGCCGTGCCTGCCAGGTGAGCCAACAACCACTGCAAAGGCAAGGAAACAGAGAGGCCTGGCGGGGTCAATCCTAATAAGCCAGCACGTGAATACTAATCAGTGCTGGGGAAGCAGAGGTCACCCCAGCCTGCCTGTTGGCAGGTAGCGATGTGCTCTGTGGCAGATGGCAGGCATTATCGACTCTCCACAAAGGCCTAGCAGTGAAATAAGCACCGGGGCTGAATGATAGCGTTATTGAGATTCCGAGCAAGATGCAAGCAGATGTGATGCTTGCCAGGACCCACTGTAAACAATATGCCAGCAGAATTCTTAAAAAGAGCATGTGTGTACAAACATGAGACAGAAGTCATTTGAGAAATGTTAACGCCTTCTTCCTCTTTAACCACGTGTGCACTGAACTCAAGCAACTGCAATTAATGATCTCTCTTGAGACAGCTGGCCCCCATGTGCTCTCTGAAATCTACAGCTCCTAATGACATCAGGAGACACACTTGCAAAGACAGAAGTACCTTCGTTAAACTCCGAATTAAGTAATTGTAAAAATAAAAAGACTCCAAATGGACTGAGGCCACTTTGGACACATTTGATGGCTAATCCCAAATTGGACAGCCAATGCCAACCTGTTGTTTCATGTTCCAGTATTTCCAGCAGACAAATATTAAACCCCCAGGTGAAACCATTTGGAATATTGTCATAATCATGAAAAAATATTGGCATGACCAAGATCATAGAAATAGCAAGTTTCAGCATATATTTGCTAAAGTCACAGGTATTTTAGTAGAAGAAAAGAGAATAAAAAATAGTTCTTTTCTAGGGAGTGGAGAAGTTATGTGTGCATAAGTGGCAGAAGGAGGGTCAGGCGCCACCATAAAGCTTTCCATTCAGGCCCCAGCTATCAGATGAAAAACAAACTCGTCAGCCACTTCTATGTTGGACATGGCCTGGACCCTGTTCTAGGACATTTTGGCTACATTGAGTTAAATTAAAGTCATTACTTTATTTTGGAATAATGAAACCCTAAGCAAGCCCACCCCCGTTGCCCATGATAAGCCTTCTAAAAGGACATAGCAACAGGACAATCTAAATCCTTTCTTTGGATGCCTCTAAATATGTACAGCTACTTGAGATTATGGAGATACCTTCCCCTTTTTTCTACATTGGACAAAACTCTAAAAGAGTTAAACACGTTGTATAGAATAAAACTGAAGGAGCTGAAACTTTATGAGGAAAAAAAAGCAAAAAGCAGTTTATCCAGATGCTTCCTTTTCTATATAGGTTTAAGATGCGCGCGCGCGCGCGCGTGTGTGTGTGTGTGTGTGTGTGTGTGTGTGTGTAGACTTGGCATTCCAACTACTAATTACTGTAGACATCTTTTAAAATTCATTTTTACTTAAGGTAATGAGCTCTTCCTATAGGATTCTTACCTGGTTAGGTTCATACACCATTAGTCTATTCTGATACTGTGCGGTGTTAGTTACTCCACCTGTAATGGATTAACACGTGTTAGAGCTTTCATGAATAAGAAATAGGATATTCCAACATGAGAACAAGATATAATTAAAGAAAAATTAGCTACTGTTGAGAATCTGTTTGTATACCTTTACGGTGAACCTATGACATAAGTGAGAAGCTTATTTTGAAGCAGTTTCATTTTCAAGAGACATTTCAGAAGCAATCCAGTTGAGAGCAAGCAGCAAGTATGCAGAGATTAGCAAGAGATCCCCAATTCTGGCAAGCTGCTCAACATGGCCAGAATGAGGGGAAATAAGTAAGAGGGAGTGGGAGTGAATACAGCACACAGACAAATCTCTGCAATTTATGCCAGGAACATAGTTCTTCAGAAAATTCTTGTCTTTAGCTAAATTGACAGTTCTACATCTCTAGCCTTCTATATACTAACACAGCGATATCCTCATATCTCTTTAGAAGAACCATATCTAAGAAAAGACATTACTTATAAAAAGAAATCTAGCTGTGGCCAGTATGGCTCACTTGCTTGAGTGCTGTCCCATGCACCAAGAGGTCACTGGTTCAATCCCTGTTAGGGCACATGCCCTGGTTGCAGGCTGGATCCCCAATAGGGGGCATGCAGGAAGCAGCCAATCTATGTTTCTCTCTCTCTCTTCCTCTCTCTCTGAAATCAATAAAAACATTATTTTAAAAAAGAAATCTAGAACCAATGCTATCTAATAGTATATAACAAGACTCACAAATGTTGAGTCACATATGAAATTTTAACTTTTTCTAGTAGCCACATTAAAAGTAAAAACAGTGAAATTAAACCAAATATAAATTTCATTTTATTAAAAATAGCCAAAATATTATCTTTTCAACATGATATCAATGTAAAAAATATTGACATTTTTTTTCATATTAAGTCTTCAAAATGTATATTTGACAAAGCCTATCTCAATCCAGATTTAGCCACATTTCAAGCAAGCTACAAGTGGCTAATGGCTATCATACTGGACAGCATACTTCTAGAGCACAGTTGCTGCTGTCCTCAACTTTTTTTTCACCCCTCTTGAAAACTGCTTAGATTAAAAAACAAAAAACAACACACACACAAAAACTGAAACCTTCTGCTTAATCAAGAACAACTAAAAAATCCTTACATGTTTAGCTAAATTTCTCATACTTCTTTTCATGTTTGTGGTATACACTGAGCCCTAAAAAACACAGGAATACTTGATTCTACTTTAATTTTTACCATTAAATGGAAAAGCTAAAAAACAAAACAGCAAAAAGAAAACAATATACTATCAAATGTTAGGTAATAACAGAAATATAAGTACTCCCCCTCCAATTCTATCTTTAAAAATATTGCCTCACACACATTACTAGATACTTGTTTTTAGCTAAATTGACATCCTTATTTTAATAAGTATCACAAAGAAGCAGCTACTTTTGCAATAAATATCTAAAGTTGAGCTAGACTAAAAAGTTTCCTATTGAATTTTTTTGAAAGATCCAGAGACATGGAAGCATGAAATAGATCAGGAAGTGGGGAGAAGGGCGAGAAGAAATTAACCAAATAATTTATATGCATATATGCATAAACCATGGACACACACAATAGTGTGGTAAAGGTCTGGGGAACAGGGGGTGGTGGGAGCAGGGGGGGAGGGAGTCAATGGGGAAAAAGGGACATCTGTAATACTTTCAATAATAAAGATAACTTTTTTTAATGAGTACTGTTCCAGTACTGTCCAAGACAGCCATATCCCTGTCAGCCTGACTATACACATGCTCCTTCCTGCCTCTAGGCCCCTAACTTCCCTTTTCATAGAGCACACATTTTAGAAAACTTGTAATTATAAATTCATTCTCTGTCTCCATAAGATGTAAATCATTTAAGAAGCTTCTTGCACGTTTTAGACTGAGGAACATCTTCCTCCAAGACCTGGAGCTATCCCGTTGAAATGTAATCATCAAGGCAGACAAGGCGCCTATCTCCCATTTTCTACGGAGGGTAGGAGCCTAACTTCGGGGGTGCCAATCAGCAAACACAAATGTCCCAAATACAGAGAGAAACATTTACCAACTCAGGGTTAACAGAACGTGCTCAACAGATCACATTGATGAGCCTTCCTCCCAAGTCCCTCGGTACTTTTCCATGAGTTCACCCCTCTGCTTAAAACCCTCTGGCCTCTTATTTTTCAGAGGAGTTGATTTCAGAATGCTTTCTGGTCTCTCTCCACTAGTGCAATAATAGTCTTAGATAAAGTCTTCTTTGTCTGTTTTACTTTGTTCATTATAACTTCTGCTTTGAAGGTTCAGATACTTGGAATAGGTCACCACCATCAACTCCATCGCAGGTGTCAAGTCAACCAGAATGCAGAGAGTTAGTATAATACATAGCCTTCAACTGAACTGAAATAATCAATTAATACTAAGGATACGTGAAGGGCAGGGAACCTGTCCAGGCCAGTCATTATTCTCTCATTCAACTCCAGTAAGGAGATTACATCTTTCATGTAATTGACCATGGCTATTATTAACTGAGGGCTTTTTATTTTTGTAATTCTCTCTGAAGCTTGCAACCACTTTTTAAGCTCAATGAAAGATTTGTCCAAGGAGGAAATGCAAATAACAGAGAGAAATTAGCTTCCTGCCCTCAAAAAAAAAAAAAAAAGTCTTCTTTGTGTTTCTCATTGAATGTCTCATTTTAAAAATGAAAAGAAAACACACTTGAGAAAGCTGAGGCTGAAGTGCCTACATGGAGTGAAAATGCAACGCAAAATAAATACAGCGTATGTTTGGTTTTTCCTGCCAACCTTCCTTTTCTTATCTGATTAAAAACTGAATGTCCAATAATTCTTTCTACACAAGAATAATCAAACCTATTGAGACCTCGCAAGTCTTCAGTATGAAAATGATTGCCAAGTTTTGATCTGGGCCATAACCGCCAGATTAATAGCCAGCTCACCCGTAATCATTTCTCCAAATGAGAGGGAACAGAGGGTAAGGCTCCCACCCACTATTTCAAAACTCTGATGGTTTACCTACTTGCTTTAGAAATATGGGACAGAATTAATATCTACTGCCGTAAACTATCTGTTTATGACACTATTTGAAAATATTTACACTACTGTATGCACCAAACTCTGCCCATTATAGATTAAATGCACCACCAGTGGATTAGAATGTAGCTATTACATCCTCTCTTCGAAGCAGGGCACACAGTTTATCTTTACTCTCTTCAGAATTATTATTTACTGTCTTCCACAGATGCATCAGCTGCAGTAAAATCTGCACTCAGTAATTAGATTCTTTACCCTTACAAATTTTCACTCACACGACAATGTTTAGAAATGAGATATTGGGTTACTAGTTGGGAATAGAGACTTAGTTAGAATAGAAGTCCTAGTTAGTTATCTGGTTGATTACCTCTCGAATGCTAAACCACAGGAGGCGCCTAAAAAGCTGAGTGCTGTAACTTTCGCCAAGTCAGGACTGCAAGGGGAAAACCTTAGAAATTGGCTTTCTTGTGTTTCCCTTTGAAATCATTCACAAATGAGCACATAAATAAAAACAGTTCCTTCTCAGTACAAAACATACGTTTCTTAAAAAGCCCCCAAGTTCTCCGTCCACATGTCTCTGGCAGCGTTACTCCTTGGCAGAGCTTGGTCATTACATTCCCTTCACATAACCCTCCTCACGTTCAGATTCATCTGCTGAAATGAGATGCTGAGGATTTGCATACAGATTTGACTATACAAAAATAGATATGGAATTAATAACAGGCGCTATATGTTTTAATTCCTCCCAGACGGGAGTACCCTTGCCTGCAGCGGTGTTCCTGCCTTTGAAAGTCATCAGGCTGATTTGTCTGCTCTGGGTTATGATGCCACATGCTGCTCCACTGTCCCCCGCAATCAAAGGCTGGCAAAGATAGATTCCGGGCCATCGAGTATATTTTATAGATTGGCAGTTTTGATCTCCCTCCCCCACCCCAGGGGGGGAATAATCTGCATCCTAACAGCTTTCTATAGATACATCTGTCATTAAATATGCCATCCCGTATCAGCATCCGCGTTTAAAGCCAAGTTTCCCCTAACTTTGAAGCGCCACCGTCAGAGTGAGGACTCTCCGCCGAAATTGAAAATGAACGGCCCTGTCTCATACTTTTCTGCACTGTGACTTAAAGATATACAGCAGGTTCCCCCAAAGTCAAATAAGTCTTTAAAAACTGCCAGGAGGAATGAAAAGTTACCACCATGCTACCAGCGGTGAGCAATGCTTTCTATCATCAAGACAAGAGGAAAGCATTTTTCTTAAGCTTCCCGGCTCACCTTCCTACAAAGTGTTGTGACAAATGGAAGAGTGCGTGCCGGAGAGAGGATGACAGGTGACTGCCAAACAAGCACTCTTTGTCTGCACCACTGAGAATTTACCGGCTCCCAAAATCCACTCTGTTCAGCAGCAGCCGCTGGTCAATGTGCGTGGAGTCTATAAAACCATGTGTTTAGGAAAAACAACTTTCAATATTTGGTGATCAAGGTAGGTCACGTCTGGGAGCTCTGCTATTTTTTTTTCAAGGACAGAAAATACCTCTGTCGACAGAGTCCCCCACTAGCATAGCACCGTGATGCAAAAACTCAATGTGCCGGTGCCCTCGGGGGAGAGGCTCCAAGCTGGAATTCTGCGGGCCAGTTCAAGGTCGTGGAAAACCATCTCGGGTGCTCTGCACGTCTGCTGGAGGCCTGCAGTGCCCAGTTTCATGCTAGTTGAGGGGGAGAGTTTCTGGACAGGCTGTGCTATCAACAGGCTCCTTTATGACTCTGTTCTTGGGGGGATCATTTAACGTGGCCAAACTCAGGTTCCTCATAATCAACACGGAGGTGATGAGGTCTCTCACTGGTTTCAGATGAACCATAGTGCACGGTATAGAGGCAACCCATAAAGGTAAGTTTAGTTGGTTTATATAAATTTCTTTTTTTTAAATATATTTTATTGATTTTTTTTTTTTTACAGAGAGGA